AAGTTTTCGTTTAGATTTAATTATGTTTCCATGGTTTTTACTGTAATAAACCTTTTCTTTTGGCAGATAAGTCAGACTTAAAAAAATTATACTCCGTAATAGAAAATAGCCCCACTCTTCCAAATATATCATATTTTCATCTGCAAAAAATATTACATGAATTAAATTTTCGTTACAAAAAACGTGACCGAAACAGCTTTTTAACAAAGAAAGACGAAATCAGGTATTTTAATTGGATGAAACATGGGTTAATGCTGGACATACAGTAACAAAAGTTTGGCAAGATACCTTCATCAAAACTAAAAAACAAGTCTTAATGGAAGGGGCCTCTTGGGGATTAAAAAGTCCAACAGGAAATGGAAATCGTCTAATAATAACCCATATTGAAAGCACCGATGGATTTTTGTCAGATGGTTTATTAATGTTCTAATGTTCGGGTGAAAGAAAACAAAAGGCTACCATGAAGAAATGCATGGCCCTATGTTTGAAAATTGGTTTCAGAACATTATAAAAAAATTCCAGCCAACTCCGTTATTGTTTTGGATAATGCATCTTATCACATTCGATTAAAGGAGTCACTACCTACAATATAATGGAAAAAAGAAGATATTTCAAAATGGCTTCATTCTAAAAATATTATCCTCCTAAACCGATGGAGGCAGAATTACTCGTAATAGCAAAGCAGCATAAAAACAAATTCAAAAAATGTATTATAGACGAGATGGCCCCAGAAAGAGGAATTGAAATTCTCAGATTACCATTCCCATTCAACTAATCTGGTCACAATTAAAAGGTTATGTTTCTCGAAAGAATACAACATTTAAATTTGTTTTTGAAGGCAGCTAGCTTCAGATGTAAATGGAGAACATTGTAAGAATGTGAAGTAAGATAAAGAAAATACGATATTTATGTCTGTCTCTCTCTCAGTCTTGTTGATTTTAGCCCCTGGTTCAGTAAAATAACGACTAATTTGTTTTGTATCGATCGCATGCGGAGATAGTATGGTGAAATACGAGCACATTTAGACTTCGGTCTCTTTATGACTAAAACGCATGATTAAACAATCATTAATCATTAATTTAGTAAAATAATGGCTTATTTTGATATGTGTCAAATAACTCAGGAATTTTTATAACTAAATTGACTTTACATTAAGGCAGTCAACTTTTAAATTTCTTAGAACTTTAAAGATAGGGAACTAAATTAGAATAATCCAGTTGTAAACTTTTTGTTTTGTCAAGTAAATCATGAAAGTAATTTAAAAAAAATTAAACCTATTACCTATCTTCAATACACATGAAATTAAAAGCAATTAAATGCGATAGCCATAATTTTTAAAACTTTTTTCAGTAATTCTCAAAAGTCATGTTTTTCTAACTTGAGTCACTCTATTACTAAGAGGACGTAATGATTAGTTGTTATGTAAACTTAGTACTTTATTAGTCATAGGATTAATCTTCTATAAGAATTATATTTACGTAAGTCTTGACCACATGCCAGATGGCAGTCATAATAACACATTGGTGTTACAATGGTATTTGTGCTCTTTATATAGGTAGGTATTATTGAAGTTTGGTCGCTGTATATTTCAAGGAAACGTATGATATTGGTCAGGATGTTTTATCAATTTCAGAGATATCAACTCGTGGTTAGAGGTAAAAGGAAATTTTGGTTTTTGTGGTTGTTAATCACTCAGAAGTTCCCCGTTGATTAAAATGTATTGACATTTGTTTATCAGTGAATTTAGTTACTTAGGAGTAAAATTTTACGTTATATTTAACGATTTTAAAAATCATCGTCAAAGATTACAAATTCTAAATATGAATTAAATGTACTTTTGATTTAAATATAAATTATTTGGTAATACATTTTTAAAAATGATATCGAATGGGTAATTTGCAAAATTTCTTAAGAATTTATATTTAGGTTTTTGGATCAATATCCGAACTTTAAACCGATCTATCATTGTACCTTTGATTTTCTGTTTTACACCCTGACCTATTAGTAACACAAATCGACCCCTTTTATGAATGGATGACATCACAAAAGATCTGAATAACATTAAAACCAGTCATCATGAATACATTCTACTTCAAAAAGTAACCCTGGCCATATTTTACGCTAAGCAAATGGTTCTGAAGGGTGTTAGTTTCACTAAGATACTGCAGATTGTAATAATATAAAAAATACTAAATTATTATTAAATATATAACAGTAAATATAAAAAGATGAAACCAGGAAGAAGGAGTATTTAAGGAATAAGTAAATTTAATAATTTTTATTTTTGATCATTTTTATTTTTGGAAGTTTTTATCTTTGGAAGTGTTTTTATTTTTGAAAGTTTTTATCTGACAAAATATATCTGTTCCATTTTCATTCGAGAAATTAAATGAAAATTAAATGTTAACGTAGTTAACTTGTTTCTATCATTTCGTTGACACTTCATTAGGCATTCCAAATAAAATGGCTGCCTAACGGCTTTGACAGAGTCAATGATACACAGTGTGAGTACGTTATTGGCGATATACGGAAAACGATTTAATTATTAATGTTATGGAGAATGTTAGTCTTCATAAAAAAATGTGCATGGTCTAAAACCTAAAATGCAACAATCTGATATTAAATTTTATCAATCGCTTGTTTACTGATGACACAAGATTTAGCCTGCTGTCTCCAGCTGGTCATAAGAGAGTATGGCGAAGACCACAAAAGCGTTTTGCAGAATATACCTTCAGCTCTAGGAAAGGCTACCAAGGGGGTTTCGTTATGGTGTGGGCTGGAATTTCTCTGGAGGCGCATACAGTGTTGTACATTGATTCAAGAGTTTGTTGTCAGTTATGTCGATTTGATTGGAGATAACTTTATTCTGATGCATGACAATGCTAGGCCCCACACCACGAGAATTACTTAACAATACCTAAATGACGTATACATTCCTGTCTTAAAGTGGCCAGCGTTAAGTGCGTATGCTAACCCAATCATAGCAGCAAAAGAAATATATATCACTGGAAGGAACATGTTCATCTATACAGATAGCAGACAAGCACTACTCACCCTAAATAGACCACGAATTTACTCAGGGTTAGTTCTAGAATGTCACGAAGCTTTGGCCGAAGTATCCATCAACAATGTGGTCACCTTAAGATGGATCAAAGGCCACACCTCATCGAAAGGTAACCGTCTTGCTGATTCACTGGCCAAGAAAGCCGCCAACCAAATACTTTTTGGACCTGGCCTTCTATTGGCCTGACAAAATCGGTAGTGACCGACCTAATTAAAGAACAGTCCCTTGTGAAACTCAAGGAAAGATGGGACGAAACAAGAAACTGCAGAGTTGTCAGGGAGCTCTTAAGTTATCCTGACAACACTGCAGCAAACACATACTTGACTATGATTAGACAGAATCGGCTAACACCGGCCGATATAAGAGAAACACCTCTTGGCGACCTTGTCAACTACATTAATCTGTAGGCTGGCTCACGAGCTAATAGGTGCCTATCATCTTAGGAGGATGCGCAATGGACCTAATGAGGCCTAAGTGCCGTGGGGAGTAACCCACCCTCCACACGTTACAGATACAGATACAGAACCCAATTGAACATGTTTGGCACATACTTGGCCGAAGAATACGAAGTCTTGTTCCTGCTCCTTTAACCTTAAATCAATTGCAACAAGCTCTATAAGAGGAATGGGACCTATTCCTCCAGAAAACATGCCCCATTTGATTTTAGGCATGCCTATCTAGGAGGTGCCTATCAACTTAGAATGAAGCACAGTGGCGCTATTATGGCCTCGGTGCCGTGGAGTAACCCACCCTCTACACGTTACAGATACAGATAGTCTCGTGTGGCTGCGCTGATGGGTAACTAAGGACTTTTCCCACTAGAATGCTTAGGAGAACCTTAAATGCTTGCAATATCACGCAAATCTAATTGTGCTTAAAAGACCTTTAGTGCTTGCAAGACCTTTAAAGCGCTTGCAAGGCCTTTTAAGTTCTTGCAAGCTTTTCTGAGTGCTTGAAAGCACTTTAAATGGCTTGAAATACAAAACTCAATTACCGCAATGACCAAGCACTTTTTATAAACTACTTCAATTACCAATGACCGAGCACTGTATTTAAAATGTAGTTGCAAATGTGTTCGAAGCACTATTGTGCTTGAAGCCCTTTTTCAAGCAATTTCGAGGCAATTACTATCCAGTTCTGTATCATCTAGTTTAGGCAACGTCTAACGATAGGTTTTTTTAATGTTCTGAGTGGGATTTCGCTATTTTTCATAGTTCATCTGATGCGGAATTTTTCAAGCTAACTGATGCGATAAAAAATTAAAAAATAGATACCGCTTTTTATCTTAGGGGGCAGTATAGTGTTCGTATTAGTAAATATACGTAGCCTATCATGCGGTTAGCAGATTTTACTATATTTCTAATATGAATTAAAAAAGACAAATATATATAAGTGACACAGAGTTCTTTCAAAAATGATTGGTTCTTTTTTGCATATTAGTTCAATTTTTTAAAATAAAATCCACCTTATTACTGAGACTCCATTCTGTAACGTAACACAATCCCTCATTGTCTGTAATGTTAATGTTTTGAATACCTTTAAATCATCAGCAAAGAACAAATAATCTGAATAGTTATGTATAGATGGTAAATCATTAAGAAATAACAAGAACAGGACTAGACCTAGATTAGAACCTTGTGGAATACCCGAATTAGCAGAAAATTTTTCAGATTTTTTTATTGTATATATAGTATCTGAGTTTTTCGTTCTAATGTTTCCTACGCTTTATTAGCAAAAATAAACAAAAATGGTATTTACATTTTTATTTATAACAAATCCATGTTGTTGGGTGAATATATATTTTTCAACATGTTGATAGAGCACCGTGTATATAATTTGTTCAAAACGTTATATCATTGAACTTTTAATGCAAAAGTGGTATTCTTTGGACGGATCGACTATATCTACATATTAAACGAAACAAAAAATCTCTTACCTTGACCTTCTCGACCGCCTCTTCGGGCTCCAAATTCTCCACGGATTCCATCGGATTCTCAATCCATTCTTTGACCAAATCCGAAGCCTCTTTGTACTGCTTCCACAGATCGGCGGCGTGATGGTATTTGGTGCAGAGCTCCTTCAAGTTAGTGCACGTGGTTTCGTAAGCGGTAACGGCTTCTTTGACTGCGGCTTCGATCTTTGCTGAAACTTCTGGAGCGCAGCTGTCCGCTAGCGGTTTCGATGCGTTCTTTAGTTCCGCCACGAGATTTTCGCGAGACACTAGGTCATCTGATACGCTCTGAATGAAATAAGAAAGATTTTATTAAAAAGCTGCTGTCAAACTGTACCTGGGTTGTAGTTTTGGTGTCTCAAAAATAGGATCAATAATTGATTTTAATGTTATGTTAAATATTTTATAAAGAAGAAACAGTGTTGTATTTAGAAGCAAATTCATTAATGCTTCAATCAAATAAATTAAGCGATTTTACGGCACAAGAAATAAAAATGACTTGCTTTTAATACCTTTTTCAAAAATACCTAATTTGTAATAATTTTCTGTTTATAATAACTCGTTTATAATTAATTTATTTCGTTTTAAAAAGACATTTTTAAAAATTACAAATTTAAACTGTCACGTACTTTACACCTACATTTTTGAAAAAAATTACCATTGTTATATAATGCAGACTATGAGGTTATCAGTGAAATATCTACTAAAACTTATATTCACTTTTATAGTGTAAAACAATGTGTGTTATACACAAAATTCTTTCGAATAAATTCATACAGTTATTATTTTAATATTTTTTTTTATTGTTTGCGAATTATTAAATAAATGAAAAATATTGAAAACGGCAAAATAAAATTTAAAGTTTTAGAGAAATGGAATATCTAAAATATTATTGAATTTTATATAGCGACCTTAACACTACAATCTATTTAAAAATGAAACTAGGTCACGCTAATAAAATATTTGATATGACAACGTAGACTAATAAAAATAAAGCTAGTTTAGATGCAACAATTAGAATTAAAAAACAGGTAGGTCTTGAACCAATTATTATTTTATTAATTTCACATTTAAATTGTACATACTAATTGGTATATTTGAACATTAAATGTCATAATAAATTTGAAATAAACGTAAAAAAATATTTTTTCCAAACAACATGCTTGTTTTCTTTATATGTTGTAAAGTGTTGATTAGATCTTGATCCTTATTTTTGAAACCAAATTAAAACGAAATTATCAGAATATCAGAGAACAATTCAACGTATATATCAATTGATTAAGATAATATACCTTTAACCTTTCACTCTGTATAAGAATAAGGTTAATGACACTAAATAATAAATAATTAAAATGCAGCAGTAGATCACCATCCGGTTATAAATAATGTTGATTTAATTACTTCAGTGTATATTTCTATCTAAACTGAATAATTTAATTTGCAATTTTGCTCTGTTGCAAGTAGCCAAATGAATAATAATTATTACTTGTCTCAGCACATAAAAGATTACAAAAATAGATATAAATAATAAAGATAGCAAGTAAAAATCTAATAGGTAATTAGGTTCGGAGACCGATTTTATCATATTGCCCCTACAGTTAATTAAAGAGAATAATAAAGACCATAAGTAACTTAAAAAATATAATTACATAATACAAATATACAGGGTGTTATTATATTCCACCAACACGCTCTATCCCAAAGAACTCTCGTTCTATAGGATTATGAACCCCTGCTTTAAATCAAAAACGTTTTTAAATATTTTTTTCAAATTTGGTCTACCAAGATCTTGTCAAATACACGAACTATTAAACATCTGACATGTACCTACAGGCATGGTAACCTAATTTGTCTGAAGAGGGGATGCGCATTAATCTCGAATTTCAATTGTCAACGCCTACTGTAACTTTTAAAGAGAGATGCAAACAATAGCCGTGTTGTCGGGGGTGATCAGTAGATGATAATATTTTCTTGAATTTGTGTAACGTGCAGATTTTGAATTATATTTTATTTTTATTTGTTTGTAGTATTTTCTTTTGAGTAGTGACTTACTTGTGTTAAAAAGGCAAAGGAAATAATATTTCATCTATTCGAATATTTTATGAAAGAATATGCTCCTCGACAACAAATAATTTAAAAAAAAAAACAAGGATGATAGTGAAACTTGACAATGTGTTGTGAACGATGATCCCAAAACCCTCACTGAAATTAAAGAACAAGTTGCTGAAGCTACAGGATATTCGGAAAAACAATTGAACGAATAATTATAGAAGGTGAGATATCAAAAGGTAAAAAGTCTACGTCGACCATACCTAAACAATTGTTTAAAAGTCCAAAAATCGCAAAAGAACATCAAGTGTAACAGATATTCCATCCTACAATATTGGAACAATCAGAGATATAGTTAATAGATTTCACGAAATAGAAGGTATGCACGTAACAATCAAAACTCTTGGTGAAAAATTAAAAAAGGAATTTGATTGGAAAGGGAGCTACACATCATTAAGAACTATTTAAAAAAAAATGGTTTCAAGTGGCGTAAAACGCGAAACAACAAACAGGTTCTAATAGAACGGCTTGACATCAGGGAAAAAAGAATAGATTATATAAAAAAAAATAGATATTTTCGTTCTCAAAACCGTCCCATTGTATATACTGATGAAACTTATATACATAGTGGCCATACATCATCACATAATTGGGGTGATGATAATGCAAAAGGTTTGTTTTCCACCATTTCGAAAGGAAAGAGACTTATTATAGTTTATGCTGGTGGTAACATGGGTTTTATTCCTAACAATTTATTAATGTTTGTGTCTGGGGCCAAATCTGGTGATTATCTTAATAATATGAATCAATAAAATTATGAAAAGTGGCTAAGAGAACTGTTAATACCAACTTTACCACCAAATGCTATTGTAGTTGTGGATAATGCACCGTATCACAATGTTATAGAAAATCCTGCTCCGAATTCAAATTCAAGAAACGCTAGAATGATAAACTGGTTGACGTCCAACAATATTGAATTTCAACCTTCCTTATTACGACCACAACTGTACACATTAATCAAACAGCATAAAAATAGATTCAAGCAATACAAATTTGATAAATTATTCTCCGAACACGGTCATGCAGTTTTGAGATTACCACCATACCACCCAGACTTAAATCCAATAGAAATGATCTGGTCTGTAGTAAAAAATAATGTAGCTATAAAGAATATTTATTTTAAATTAGCACATGTACAAATGTTAGCTGAAACTGAATTTAAATCAGTAACCCAAGAAGACTGGAAAAAAAGATGTGCACATGTAATAGCTGTCGAAGATAAATATTTAGATCGCGAAATTATAATGGATGACGTTGTAATTCCTACCGTTATTATTAATGTTAATGAAGACAGCAGTGATAGTTCTAGTGATAGTGTTGATTTTGATGACGATTTTTTAGAACTCTGTTAATTTGTTTATGTTTATTTTGTTTGATAGTAGTTATAGCAACAAGGTAGAGGTTAGTATAAATTCCCCACTCGACCATTCACTGTTGGGTTCTAATTAACAGTGCTGTTCCTAAAGTGGCGCTGGGAAACAGTAACAAAGCCTACACAGAACACGAGGCGAAATAACCTTAGCAGTTGAAGCCGATGAAACACCAAAAAAAAAATAATCATAAAAAAAGTATAGTATTCTACTAGCGGGTAATGGCTATTACTCAGTCGGATGATTATACTACTCGCCTGCGGCTCGTAGTGCAAACTTCATCCTCGTGAGTAATAGCCATCATTACCCGCTCGTTGAATAATACACTATTAGTTTATCGCCCGGCGGGCGCAAAGTAGTTAGCGGGCGGTAAAGTAGTAAAGTAGTTTATTTCAAACTTTTAGCACCCTGTATCTCGGTAACTAAGCCCTTTAAAGGGTTATCGGACGAATATAATAACATCCTGTATATGTATATTTCCTAATGGACTATAGCAGTCAAATTTTTTTATTACTCCATTTTAAACTTTACCACTCATAAAGTACTTTAGTTCAGATATCACTGGAGGCCGAAGAAATAATTGTTAAAGTTGAAAATTTAATGTCCGCTATGTATGGTGACGTGTACCTACCAATAAATTCAGAAAATTTAAATTTTGTTGTCAAATGTCTACTTTTATTTTCCTATTAGTTCCTTCTTTGTGTGTATTGCATAAAGAGTGAAATAGAAAAATAAGTAGGTGTCTATTCCTTTTTTTAAAAATTATGGACAATGCATTAAGTGGTGTTGCAATAAAATAAAAAGGGTGGCGTAGATTAAAATTTACTGATATTATATTTTGAAAATACATTTAAAATAAGAAAGTTGGTATTGGCCACTGTTACAAGACACACCCTGTATAAAAAGTTTTTGTTTAAAAAAAAATGTGTTCGCTGTTCCACACCGTATGTTATGATCTCTTATCAATTAGCAAAGTTTCAGATTTGGACTTTTTCGAAGACTGTGAAGAAAATTAATAATGTTATTTAATGTTGATACAAGTCATAAATTTTAAACGCTGATGACGTTTTGACTTTAAACTTATGATTTTTGAGCTATGAGGGCATACATTTTTTATCATCCTAGGAAACCTATTTGGAAAAAGGGAAAAGTGGTCATGGTTTTTTGTTGATACTAATTTAATTACGTATTTGATAGTTTATAAAAATCAAAAATTAACAAATTCTAATCATACTATTTCATTTAAATTGCAGTTTTATTCCCATAAAACATTATTATGATAAAAAATGGTTCACTGAAAATTGGTTTAAAAAGGTCTAAAACAAAACACAAACGATATAAAATACATTTTGTCTAAATATATTGGATCTAAAACACTTATTATCTAAAACACATTTGATATAAAATAAATTGGATCTAATTACAATGTTACGTTTTTTTTTCTTCTAATTTTATGTATTAAAAAAACTTAGCAAATTTACCTAACCTGTGCGGCCTGAAGCTTCAATTTTAAACTTTTTTTAGTTACGAAGTAATTAGAATAATTATTTTTAAAACAATTGTATTTTAGCTCAATGCTCTTTTAGATATTATGCACTTTAGATAAAGAGATTTAATAACAAATGCAATTTAGACCAATAGATTTTTAGATAAAATGTATTTAGATCAATTGATATTAGACATTTAATGTTTAGACTAAATTTTTTTAGACCAATTTTCCGAGAACCCTACCATTATTATACTTATTTGTTAGGACATAATTTAGAATCATTTACAACAGAATACAATAGAATATTTTCTTACTTATCA